TAAGACGTCCAATTTCAATTCATCTAAACTTAATAAATTTTGAACTAGTGATTCGGCATACTCATCATCATTCAACTTATGTTGTAAGCACACTCGAATTGATTGCACGTTGATTTCCATAGGCAAAACGGCCTCCTATCCATAAACAAGTTGGAAAGGAGTAATTTTGGTACTTGACCGAGGTGATGTTCTATAAGCCCATAAGGCAGTGTTCAAACATTCGTGCCAATTTCTGGCGTTTTCGTCTATCATCTTCCTGATGATATTTTTTAGAATCTTGTTAGAGGATTCTGCTTGTCCGTTGAATTGAGCGTAGTACGGTGTGGAGTTTACTAATTTAACCCCAAACTCGCTCAAAAATTTGTTTACTTGATCCCCATTCAAAGATGTTCCGTGATCTACCATTAAAGTTTGTGGAATTCCAAACCTATAAATAATGTGATCACGGATAAACTCTATAACATTCTTCTGGGTGATCTCTTTCAAAGGTATCGCTTCTACCCATTTGATGAAATAGTCTGTTGCAACTATAACAAAAGTATGTTGCTTAGACGATGGGGGGTAAATCTTCCCTATTAGATCTATCGCCCAACCTTTGAACGGCCAAGGCTTAATAATATGTGCCATTTCTCGTGCTGGCGCCCTTTGTATTGGACCATACTTTTGGCATGCTAAACAACTTTTTGCATACTGAACGCATGGTTCTCCCATCTTTGGCCAAAAATATCCACTCCTAATAATTAACCATCTCATCCTTTGGCCAGCTTGATGAGCTCCTCATATCGCTCGATTATAGACTGGATTCCTCCCTGACTTGCTCCTTCCTTGTCAGATCTCTGAGGCATATTGTTTCACCTTTTGTACTTTCAACACCTAACACCACTGTCCCACTGGGCGTGCCAAATTGTTTCGTGCGGGTTAATTCGCTAACAATTAAAAAGGATCAGACGATTGTGTAAGGGACGAAACCTCTTGAGACAAAGTCCCAAAAAGGGGTGTTCTTTCATTGGCGATGAACGTTACAATTGGAAACGAAAAACAACGTGTCTCCAAGGGGCGCAAGCACACGAGTTACAGAAAGAAAAGTGTTTATATCTAAAAGCTAAGGAAATAAAAGTTACATATTCTCTGTTCGAGAGTTTTGGATTCGGTCTTTTGCTTCTACGTCTTTTCTCCCTTTTATACCTCATAGACGATCTCTTTGTGATTAACTATTCTGAAAACTGCTTGATCGTCCTATAACTACCCACTTTCTTTGTAGTGGCCATTTTGTCATGAAACTGCCTTTTAACTGCTGCCATTATCTTTCATCGTTCAACTGCCTTCGATTGAATTCCTTGAGTTGTGGAACGTGATAGGACTACTTTAGCAACTGCCTTGATAACTGCATTTTTTGATAACCACAATGCGTTATGTTTGTTGATACCTTGGGCGACTTGAAGGTTTGGGCGAGAATAGAACAACAGCTCTGGGCGACCGTATGATGCTCCATTCGTTCAGATTCTGGGCGACTTGCAAACTTGGGCGATGGCGTTACCGCACCCTTGGGCCCCTTATTTGGGCCTTCACCTTGATTCGTTCGATTGGACTTCATTCTTTGGGCTATCTGATTTGGGGATCCTCCAATTGGGCTTTACTCCTTGGGCTGTTCGATTTGGGCTGAATTTTTATGTGTCAAAAGACCTACTGGAAGATTCAGCAATGGGAAGCTCTTGGTAGACTTTCTTGGTATCTGTCACTGACTCACTTTTCCTTGCATTTAGACCATGTTGATTGATTCATTTATATTACAAGGTTTAAACTACATATTTAATTTCTGCATGTTCACTGTTCTTTCAATTGTATGAAGCCGAATTGGTGGGATTGCCTCTGCTTCCACCCTATGTAAGTCCTAGTACTACTGGGAAAAACATTCTGCTTGGGGTAAATTATGCTTCAGCAGCAGCAGGAATTCTTGATGAGAGTGGAAGTAATTTTGTAATGTCTACTACCTTCAATGGTTTTGTACTAATTATCATATATATTTTTTGCATTTAAGATTTTTCATTCATAACTCAAAAAAACATGTGAATTTCAGGGTCATCGGAGTGAACAAATTAAGAACTTCAAAATCACCGTGAATCAATTGAGAAATCAAATGGAAGAGGAGGAAATGAGCCAATATCTGGCAAATGCTTTGGTAGTTATGGCCATTGGTTCGAATGATTACGTTAGCAACTATCTGAGGCCTCAAATATACAAAATTAGCCAACTTTACAGTCCAGAGGATTTTGCTGATCTTCTCATAAATCAATATGCGGGTTATATACGGGTATGAACTGCGAGCACACTTCTTCTAGTGCGGAATGTCTGTGTCCGACATGTATCATGGAGGGTCGAACACTGTCACTCCATGTCGATAAGTCACATGCCATATCCTATTTTTATGTATTATTTATATTTCTAATGCTCAAGCAATACTTTGGACACAATCCTTGGACAAGTGATATATGCCATGTGTCTTGTTCTATGCTGAAAAATATTTTATTAAAAAATTAAACCAATGTAACCATGTCATACTTTTCTCAAAAATCGTGTATCGGCTTGTCCATGTTTGTGCAACATAGGGTAAGAGCAAATGAGCAGTCTTCTAGCTTTTCATTAATTACAGGCAGTGATTGAACAGTGTAAACGTAGCCTGCCCAAGGATTGCGGACACTAGACAACTGCGACCTCATGAAATTAATATTAGGCCCTGTTTGAGTCGCATTATTTAGAAAAAATATAGGGGAATTTACAAAATTGTCACGAAAAATGAAAGTTAAAAAAAAATGTCATTTTCACTTTTTGTGAGCAAAAATGTCACATTTTTGGGGTGCAAAGTCCAAAATACCCTTAATCACACATTTCTAGTCGCATTAAATGCTTGATGTGAAGGAAAAGCATTGACTTGAAAGAAAACATGGATAAATGTGTATTTTATTGATTAATATGAATTTTTGTTAATAAAAAATTACCAAATAAATTAGAAAATGAAACATAAACAAGAAACCCTACCTCTTTTCCATCTTCTTCATTTTCATTGATCAAGAAGACATTTGTGTTGCATTCTACATCCACTTTGAGAGGTTAGCAATTACAAATTAATTTATATTACTTTTATAGCTTTGTATTTGTACATATTAAATACAACATGGGCATATTTATTTGAAATTACTTTGAAAGTATTATGCATTCATTTGTTTGATTTTTTTGAATCCTTAATAAAATGCCATTATCACCATTGAGTAATTTCTTCCATTACCACCATTAAGGTCTCTTTAATGACAAGGCCAATATGCCATTTTCATTATGTCATTTGGTAGGTGAATAATAATGACCACACTTAATATGATGTGTTGAAGAAACCTCAGAAATTCACTGTCGTCTGCTTCCCGACATTCTTGACAGTTCGACAGTTAAACTGTCGAGTTCGACATTTACAAATTGTCGGGTTAGACGTTTGAGATGTCGAACCTGACATTTCGAAAATGCCGAGTTATAAAATAATACTTTCAATTTGGATACTTCAAAACGATACAAACCCTTGATTTGAACTTTTGTTATTATACTGATTTACGTATTATGAAGTGTGAGTTTCATGCTATTAAATGCCAACTTATTGATTCCGAATTGTTACCATTGCAATCCCAACATTTCAAGTATGCATAATCATTTGAGATTCGTTGTGTTGCATGGGGGAAATTTTGTTCATGCGGATGACGAATGGAAGTGGAGAGAGGACAAAACTACTTCCATTCTGGTGCCAAGAAGTATTGCCATAGCCGAACTTATGTTAAGGTTGAAGGAGAAACTTGTTATTCTTGATCCCCGTGCTCAAATTGAATTGAAGTTCAAAGTCCCTAACTTGAATATACCTTCGGCTGAAATATGCGACAATGAAGACTTAAATTGGTACGTATCAGTGCATAAGGAAAGTGCTATCTGCGTTACTGTTTTGGAATCCGATCTCCCAAGTGTTGACATGGGAAGGGATGCAAATTTTGAAGATCTTTCGTTTGCCGCGGTAGATGTTCTGCAAAACGTGGAACATGATTTGGTGAATCGAATGCATAGTGTCTCAAACAATAATACACTTGAAACACATGAGTATGATAACGGGAGTGCACCATTAGATGAGAACTTGGATAACCCATCACCTAGTTTAGAGGTTGCTAATTCTGTTGACGTCGAGGACGAGCACTCTTTGTCACATTCCAACGATTCAGATGGATATGAATTTATGAGAACTGTGACTACATCCGATCTTATTCTTCAGCAAGAAAGAGTTGTACTCGAAAATTCGTACACTTGCTTTGAAAAACAAGTTCCAATTTCGGGTGAGCCGGTCAAGCATGAAGATGTTAACCGTTGTATGCGCCGACCGCAGTTGCAAGTGAATGTTACGTGCTTCTACTGTGAAGTAGTCTGCAATCTTTGTGATCCATAAATTCAATAATGTGCACACATGTTCCATCGATTTTCGTAGTAATGCGCATCGACATGTGACGAGTGCTGTAATTGCCGAGCATATTTTCGAAAAATTGGATAATCCGAACTGATCGTATGATCCGAGCACTATTGCACGTGACATGGAACGTGAGTTGGGTGTCCAAATAAGTTACAGCAAGGCACGTAGGGGAAAGGTGGCCGCTTTACATATGCTGCATGGGACACTGGAGGACAGTTTTCAGAAACTATCTTCATACTGTCACGTACTAGGTGAGAATAACCCGGGGACGGTAACCCACATCGAACTTGATTCGTGCGATAGATTCCATTACTTCTTCCTAGCTTTTGGTGCAAGCATTCGTGGTTACATGCAGTACTTGAGGCCCGTTGTTTGCTTTGACGGTAGTCACTTGAAAGGTCCATACAAGGGTACACTTTTACTGACAACTGCCCAAGATGCCAACAAACAGATTTATCCCTTAGCATGAGGGATTGTGGATTCCGAAACTAATCGATCTTGGATGTGGTTTATGTCTAACTTGAAAGATCTTATAGGAGACTCAGATGAACTTGTATTTGTTTCGGACAGGAAAAGAAGTATCGAAAGAGCTATTACTCACTTATTTCCTTTGTCTCGTCATTGTTGTTGTATGTGGCATGTGGAGAAGAACCTAATTCAGCGGCACTTTAACGCAAGTTCAATATTCCTGTTCAAACGAGCTGCTACAACTTATCGGGTCGAAGAGTTCCAACGACTAATGAGACAGATTCGTAGGGTGAGTGAAAGATGTTACAGGTATTTGGAGAAAGCCGATTTTTCATTCTGGTCACGAGCACTATTGGTGGGCGACCGATACAACATTATGACAAACAACAACGCGGAATCATTGAACTCAATGCTGAGACATGCTCGTTCGTTGCCAATCACGTGTTTGGTCGAGCACATTCGTAAAACAATGCAGAGGTGGTTTTACGAACGTCGAAGCAATGCAACCGCATGCAGTGCTATATTATCGTCGAGGATGGAGAACGAGTTACAAACAACATTTAAAGCTGGTACTAGGCTTCGAGCCCATGAGTTGACAAACAGCTTGACCCAGGTTGGAATATCCAACGATATGGAGATAGTGGACTTCTCCGATAACACGTGCACATGTCGTGAGTTTCAACTAAATCGTATGCCATGTGCTCATGCAACTCGTGGTGCTACCCTGAGTGGTAAGTCATTATACGATCTATGCTCTTTGTACTATACATCAGAATACTGGAGGGGTGCCTATATGGAAGTCATATATCCCGTTACACGAGAAGTGGATTGGGTTGTTCCAAATGAAATCCTAGGCACTCATATTTTGCCACCGACTGTACGTCATCCTCCAGGTAACCACCGACGTGACGTAAGCGAGCTAGATACGAGTCCACTTCCCAACTGAGGAAATGCACTCGATGTGGGAGACTTGGTCATAACCAGACCACATGTTCGAACCCTATTGTATCACAAGCCACTTGAAGAAGCGTGATGTGTAAAAGTGGTTGTCAAATGTAATCCTCGAAAAACTTAATTTAAATATACATTGTACATTCCTAACTTATTTTATGAATTTGTTATTATTATCGTATGCCAGTGCAAATTTGGTCGTTATGTTCCGCAAGCAAAGTACCAATCATTACAGTTCCATTATCACGAATGCGATGAATACCCTTTTCGTACTATAAACTTAGCTGATCATAGAAGTTTCATTAGCTTCAACTGACAGTTTGTCGAATTGGAAAATTGATTTTCATGAGACCATACTGAACAAATAAAACACCAACATTACGTCTCGACAGTTCATATGTCGTTCCCGACAGATAGTCTCTGTAATTCTCGACAGTTGGGAACAACAGCGGCTTGAAAACCTACACTACTGTGGTTGCTTATTATGGAGATGCAGTTTTTGCACGTATCCAGAGAACGTGACCAAAATCATCCATACCAAAAAATACTAAACATATTTTCCTACAAAAGGGCCATTTATTGCACAGTTGCACTGCTTTTGACAATGTAAGAAGCTCCCCCACTTTTCCCATCAGACTCGTCTGAGTTAATGACAATTACTTCTGGAGGTGGAACATGAGCCACCCACTCATTCGAGTCAGACGGTGACTCGACCGGACCCCTAACCTCGAAGACTTGATCGAGAACGCTGTTCGGTGACTTAGATTCCGCACTTGACACTTCATGGAACTCGGCACCATGATGTTCAACTCTTACATCCTCATCGTCTGACAACAAAACGATGGGAAATTCAGCGGATGAACCCAGTATGGGTGGATGCATATTGGAGTTGAATGTTTCATTGCTAGAGATGGATGAACCCATTATCTCGTATCAACTACCTGTTTCAAAATGGAAGCCTCACAACAGCTTTAATGACATCTGAAATGTAATTTGATAGACAATGCTTGTAATGCATTCATTATGTAAGTATAAATGTATTGGAAATATTTGTTACTTGCAAAAAATCAGAAACGTATAATATCTACAATAGCATGTTACACTAAGACACTTGTATTGGACAATCCCACCATTTTCAATTATCGAAACGCAAGGAACTTATAAAATTTAATGGCCCGCCTAGTTGAACTGTCGGGCGCGACAGATGTTTTATTCCTTCTCGACAGTTGACGAAAACGTGCATTGCAGTAAAGATCGTATAATTTTGAATTTTGGTAAACTGCAGAATAAATGAAGAAGAATAAATAGAAGTAGCTCTTTCTTACCACAATGTTGTTCAACTACGTTGAAAGTGTCACAATGATCTGTAGGTAAATTCAAAGTGGCACAATACCTTGGCTCCAAAATTGATTGTAAGCAACAATGGTCTCCTGGTATTTATAATCATCCTGAAAGGAGGAAGTAATTACTTCATTTATCGACCCAACCACCAAGTTCAATCTCTAAATAAATTTGAAAAGCAATTGGCGTGATGGTTGATATAATAAGTGTACCTTTATCCCCCATTGTACCATCATTACTATGACATTGGCAGAGACTAGAATACTTCAATGATGTGTAAAATTCATGTTATCTGGTTGCTTGCAAGAAATTACTTCTCATTTGCCAGCTTCTTAGTTGCACCATGGTTGTAATGGTACAGTTTCTCACAAAACCCACTCATCATGTTAACCCACATAATAACATACGAAGGACAACGGAATATACATAAACTCATTTGTCAATTAGTTGTACCATGGAAGTCATGACTTTGGCACTTTTAATGGGTCCTCATCTTAATCCAATCTATAGTTTACTAAGGAACTATGACATTCAAGCCCGCTATCTACTCGTAAATGGATATTCGTAAAACGTACGCATACATAATTTTTTGCACAATACAATGTACGAGCGTTGACGAACAATGAATGAAGGCACTTAGTACCGTAAGTACGATTGACATAACATAATAAAGCCGAATAACTAATACAAGTTGTAACACTACAATAATTTCAGCAACGGTAAACGGTGACAAGGCATTCACCACGGGAATTGCAAAATGTGATGAATGCTTCTAAGTGTCACCAAGCTTGCCAACTACCCTGTCTGATATGTAAATCACAAAAATGAATGAAAAAGGCACCAATATAACGCTAAGTAACTAACATCCTTCACCACGTAAATTACATCAAACAAAAGATAAAAGCATGCTGAACCCCGTCATCGTGCTATGTTCGGCAATTTATCCACAGTTACTAATGTTTTTGCTTTGCGCTCCCCCTTGTGTACGGAGTCCTGGTAGCAGGTGCCGGACGTCGCAGTCGTGCGGATCGCTGTCTATTTGTTGTAACTGCCCGTCCTGGTCGGGCTACATTGGCGGGAACTGGGAAAGTTACAACGTAAGCAAATGAAACGAAAAATAAATTCAATTGTCAAAAATTAAGGCAATACTTTACACTTCATCCATTGCAGCGAGCGCTAGCACGAGGTCATTGTCGGGGCATGGCTCAATGTGTATTGTGTCTGTCGAAAAGAACAATTAAATATTTTCAGTGTATAACTACATGTACGAATTTTCACATTATGCCAAGAACATGAAACAACAATCTACAAGTTTTCCTCATAACTGACCCACATACCTTGCAGATTTATGGTTCTAGTAGGCACCATGTCCTGCTCTTTCTCACGGTCGCCAGGCGATGGGTGGTGGGCCCCTTCAACTACAACAAATGAACAATTGTAAACTAATCGAATTCCTGAAATAATATTTGTACAAATCGTGAAAAATAATGCAATACCTTGCACTTCTTCGATTGTAGAGGGCTCTGGCACGGGGCGATCCTCCGGGCATGGCTGAATGTGCGCTATGTCTATTCAGAACAACAACGAAACAGCGAATGGAAAGTGAATTTTAACAATTTTCAAAACTTCTGAAACACATGAAATGATAATTAATCAATTTGCTCAAAAATAACCGACGTACCTTGCAGACTTTCGGTTCCAGTGGCCAGTGGCATATCCTGCTCGTCTAGGCATGGCTCCATGTGTTCTTCATTAATGCACATACCATCCCCCTCTTGCCTGTCAATTCCCATGTCTTCGTCGATACCGTCAGGCGACGGCTGGTGGCCTGCAAAGCCTCCGTAGTCTAAAATGAATGAACAATTGTCATACAGAACATGTCAGTGAGCAGGGATAAAGTGAACATTGTCATAAAGAACTGTAGTACGCATACGGTGAAGTACCTGATTGTCTGGGCTCGGGGTCCACATCAGTCGCACATGCAGTAGTTGTAGAGCCGGATGTTGGGACGATGGTGGATATGAAGTCTTTCAATTTTTTAAATTCATCGGACATGTGCTGCATGAGTTCGAGCTTCACAGTGCGGAGCCGCATTTCGAACAGAATTCTTTGATTTAGCAACATGCCCTGAACATCGTCTGCTGTGAGGCTTGATCCAGCCGCTGCAGTAGGTTGTACATGAGAGGTGGACGGTGCCATGGGAGAAGTAGCTCTATGCTGGTTTGGGGGGGGGGGGAGAAGTCCCCGTCTGTCCACTTCGTCCAACTCGATCACCATCACTATCCTCACTGTCGTCCTCCTCCGAGTCCTCACCTTCGTCCTTTCCGCTCTCATCGGCTCCTGACTCCTCCTCCTCCTCGCCATTGGTCCCCCCACCGTCATGGGCCTCCTCAGAAGTATCACCCTCGGGGGTGCCTATACGCTCTGCTTGGAACTGCGGAGCAACACTGTCCCTAGCAAGGTCATCCAACGCAGGGACAGGATCATCATTGAGCAGCACAAGAGTTGCGATATGACGTTGCCCACGCTCAGTCTCGGTGGGCTGCAGTGACACGTACACGTGTAGCTACAACATGAACATATTCGTTACGAAATAACCACATGCTACAATGACGAATGGAAGGTATGAGATCGTAGAAGTAACATAATTTTTTACCTGTACATTCTTGAAGAAAGTGTCGTACGTACGCTGCTGCGGTTGTTTTGTTGATGTCCAGCCGAGAAGCCGTGGGGAACGTTCCCCAAGACGCTCACCGAAGCGATCACCAATTTCAGGCACCGCCTCGAACGCCCATATTTGTTAGAGTAAAAAAGGAATGTGAGTTCAGAACGAAACCAACCACGAAATACATTTGCATTGAAATAATTAGTAGGTAAAATGAAGATACCTGTATGGCAATGGGAAAGCCGTGGACCGTGTAGCTAACTGCCTTCTCCTTCTTCTTCGTCGCATCCAAAAATTTTCTTGCCCAACGGCCCTGAAAGCCCTTTATCAGCCGTCCATACGAGATTCTACCCCAAGGATACAAAAAGAACAAGTCTAGATAGTCGACGATCGACAACGTCTCCATATCGATACCAACGTTGTTATCCGGAGCATTGAAGACTCCTTCGATGATCAAAGCGAGGCCAAGCTTGTACCGATCGGCTCAAGGCGTTGACAATCGAGGAAATGTCTGCTCGAGTTGGGCGCAAGAAATCTTGTCCACATGTTTAAAGTATTTGTCCTTTAGTCTCCTCTTCTCAAGAACTCGGTCCATACTCTTGAATTTCGAACCTAGCGAGGTGGCCTTTCAAATTAAACCACAATTCGTGCCGCTTCTTTGTTTGTATGCAGCAAAATACGAGTTGTTGGATTAATTGGGCAGAGAACTGGAGATCTGGAACCTCGGACAAGAACCCAAGGCATGAGTTGCGAAACTCTTCCCGCTGTCGCTCGTCAAAATGTTCAACGACTGTTTTTATATACCACAGATTACTTCTTTGCGATACGTGGCCCCGCAAGCATGCATTCTCTGGAACAAGAGGCTCGAAATCCATGTCTACAAAGACAAAATAAGAAAAAAATGTGTCAGACCACAATATAAACTTCCTCCCAGCATTGAAACGGAAGATATGCCCACATCAAACATGATTTTCACATCAGAAATTGTTGCATGCAAAAAATAAAAGGAATACTGATATCTGAACGCATATCACATAGAAATATCATTTTCTACTGGTAGGCCCTAGGCAGGCAGGAATTGAACTGTCGGTCCCGACATTTTATCCGTCGACGATTCATATGTCGAGAATTACAGAGGATAACTGTCGGGTACGATAGTTGAGAAACAACTATGGATAGATGAACTGTCAGAAAATCCTATTTTGAATATGTTCCTGGTTATTAACATATTTTGATCATACAAAACAAAAAATAACTGCAACTGCAAAGAAAAGACCAATGTTTGAACCAATGGAATGAGCTGTTTACGGCTAATATGTAGAAATTTAAAACCCTGTGCTTGTCCTATTTACACAGTATAACCCCCCTCAAACTTGCTGAAGTTGTATATGTTTCCTTAAAAACCCATACAATTTGTAATGCATATTTCTAAACCACAAGCTTATTCCACATTAAATCTAACAAGCAAATTATTTTATTGTACAAAATTAGTAAGAACAGTTGCTGGTCAATAAAG